AGGCCACCTTTGGAGCCCTGAAGCCGAGAGGAGAAGAGCAAACAGACTGCGCTTACCAACAGCGAGGATGGAGAGCCATCCATCTGAGGCCTATTTTTTTTTTTTTTTTGGGGGGGGGGATTCTCATCAGATTCTCCAGGCATCCCAAATAAAAAATCTGCTGCATGTAAATTGTCTGAAAGCATCCATAAATGTCACTTGGAAGTGGGCGCCGCCATCTGTCGTCTCCTGTTTGTTTGAATGGAATAACAATGAGTGGCACTAAAATAATCAAGTATAATTTACGGTCTGTACCTTCCCATTATTACCAAGGACCTTTTTGTTCCTCTCCGGGTCTGATGAAGTGTTGCACTCGATACTCTCCTCTGTTGTGGCTTCAAGGTCGGTCTCCTCTGACGATGCAAACCTCTTGTTGGCTGCACAGAACGCAGACACATATGAGGGACCTTTAATGCTCTGTTCTTTTTTTTTTTTCTGAGCTTGACAGCATGCAACTCATCCATAGAGGCGAGGTGGTGTGTCGAATCCACAAGAGCAAATGATTTAATCAATGACTCAAACTACTCGCCAGCACGAGAGTGCAGCCGCAGCACCGCCAGCTATAATGAACACGATCATTCGGCGACAGCGGCAGATATTCTCTGCCTTTTTTTTTTTTCCCCTTCCAGCAGGTGCTTGAAGAAGCAAGAAGGGGGAAGTTGGTGTGCCAAGTGGCAGGTAAGGGCGATTTGTGACAGGAGGAAAGGAACAGTTTGTGATGTTTGGCACCTGGCGTGGCATCAGGCTCCTCCTCCTTCCCCTCGTCATCCTCCTGGTCATCTGTTTGAGTCTGCAAGGTCAGCTGGTGACACACGTCGAACGCTTGACCTACTGTCCGCACAATCCGCATGGCCTGAGACTGGGGAGGGAGACGAGAGTGCGTGTGAGACAAATAGCTGGTCGGGATCAAGCTGCGAGGGAGGATGGAAAGATGAAGGGAGCCGGCGGGACGAAAAGGAGGTGGAATAGGAGAAAGGATTGCTGCGGGGGAAGTATATGGAAGAGGGGGAAGCTTCCACTGCTCTGTATTGATTCTGCTGCTATAGTGACTGATTGGTCAGCTCAGATTGAAGGAATTACGTCGTAAAGGCAAAATTCTATGATAGGAAGTTAAATGTTTCAGGAGTCATTTGAGATTATTTGACCCCCCCCCAAATTTAAAACAGATATCAGGTGCTTTCATGACATGCTTGCAGGTTTGAGAAGGATAGGGAGGCTCTGGTTCAAGCTAGGACGTTAAATAGGTAAGCAAGCAACTTCTATGGGGTAAAATTTGGCGTAGCTTCATTTTCATGCCGGGGCAAATCTATTTTGCCTTGTTTGGAAATTCGGCAGATTGCGTTGCACCTTCCTGTGCGTTCTGAGGGTGTTTTCTATTACACACCTCGTAGTGCGTGACAATTTGGTGACAGAAGGCAGACTAGATTTTCGACTCGCTAAAAGGAGGTCTAAGTTGTGGCGCAGGTGGTATTTTGGTGGATTTCATCCAGGCGCAGGCAGAGACAAAATGGTTCATACCGCAGGCTGCAGCCAACAGAGATTGGTTAAGTTCTTGTTGTCGGTTTCACAGACATTTTTATAGAATTTTGAGACTTTCAATTTGATAGGAAAAGTCAAACAGAATAACAAAGTCGCAAAAAATAGCTCATGTAATCGTTCATATATTGCCCCATCAACCCTACTTCACCGGTATTGTCAAATAAAGCAGCTGGTGCTCCCCAGACTGAAGCTAAAAGCTTCATATAGATGACGTGAGAAGAAATCTAATTTGCTCGTATCAGCTGCTCCATCTCCTCCTGCTCAGTTACATGCATGGTATACAGCAGCCACCAAAAAAACAAAAAAAAAAAACCCCACTCAGGCCATTCTCCAGACAATGAGGTGACGTTATTCAGCAGCGCTGTCTTTCAGAGCGGAGAAACACGCACACGCATGCACACACAATCCTCATTTCTCTCCCAACTAGGATGATTAATATGAAGTGTCATCTAAGTCACTCTCTGTCTCGTCTCCATGAGAAAGGGATCACCGAGGAATTATCTTTGTCTTGGAGGAGAATATGCAGATATTTTCTTTTCCATCAACCCATCACCACATCAGCACCGACCGGCCTGCTGGACGGGCTACCGATTGGTTTGAAGTCCTTGTGAAACTACGAACGCGTGGTCATTCATGACATCGTCGGGTTTCGCGGGGATGTTTCTCTTGCCTTCCTCTTGGACTTGAAGACATTGCAGCGGAAGCTATTGCTTTCTCCATCTCTTGCGATGTAACTGAAGATCTTCAGGTCTTGTGCATCATGGGAAACGTAAAAAATCCTGGTGGCAGAAAAAAAAAGAGTGTGTGGGCTTTCGTTCACGTCTTAAAGGGGTAGTCAAGTTAAAAAAATGATCTTTACAAATAATATGTTCTATGTAGCCCCACTAGTATTCTGATTAATACCGTACTGTGTTTCTGGAATATGAATTGAGCAGCAAAATCCACCCGTTTTTATCCATCCAAGGCGGTGGCCATTTTGTCATTTGCTGTTGATTGATGTAGATCAGAGTTGCACAGTTGCTCAGGGCTAAGGTAACGGCCAATCACAGCTCAGCTTGCAATCATCACAAGACCAAATTCAGAAAACAGGTGTCATAATTTGCCGATTCATCTATGACAGCAAACACAATATCGCTCAATCTGGGAACGATCTCTGACGCCATTGTTAATTATACAAAAATTAACGGCATATATGGTCAGATTTTTTATTTTCATTTTTTTTGTGTGATATGAATGTTTCTCAGCATTTTGGGGCAAATTCCTAGGGTATAATTACATATCCATTTTCCGAGCCACTTTTATCCTCAGAAGGCTCGCTGGCGTGCTGGAGCCTATCCCAGCTGTCTTCGGCGCCTTTCAATTCAGGCGGGGGACACCCTGACCGGTTGCCAGCCAATTGCAGGGCACCCAGAGACGAACAATCATCCGCGCTCACGCTCACACTCACACAGAGGGATAATTTAGAGTATTCCATTAACCTGCCACGCATGTTTTGGGAATGTGGGAGGAAACCGGAGTACCCGGAGAAAACCCACGCAGGCACGGGGAGAACATGCAAACTCCACACAGGGAGGCGAATCGAATCCTGCACCTCTTCACTGTGAGGTCGACACGCTAACCACTGGACCCAGGGTATAAATAATATTCTTTTTTTCACCCCAATGCATTTCAATGGGTGCCAATTATACACAAATTTTGGTTTATTTGTGGGCTAGGCAACTCCCAATTTTTGTACAGTGACTATTGAGTAAATAAACAAGTTATTTTAATAGATTGGATCGATGGGTCCAAATTCTGATCGGATTAGTGATCGGTCATATTTTTTAAATTTGCTATCTATCTATCGATCTATCTATCTATGATAAATACTAAAACTAATAAAAACAAACTAAAAGTAAGTGAATTTGGGAAAGAAAAGTGAAGATGAAATAAAATCTAATAGTAATGGAAATGGAAAAGTATGAAAGGCTTGTCCCCACCTGAATATGGGATCCTGCGTCACCAAGATTGTACTCTCATCCCAAGACCAGCCTTTTCGCTGTCGGGACATATAAAAAGTGAGACGCTGAGTTAGCCTTTGCTGTAGTAATAAAATGACATTTTATGGGACTGACCTTCTTTTTTCTTAGTATGACTTTGACAAAGTCCGTGGAAACAACAATGTTGACCTTCTTTTTCTTGACGTTCTTCAGCTTGAATTCGTACTGTGAAAAGCAAAACAAACGTGTAAGCATTTCAAGGTGACTTGAAACAAATTCAAAAAGAGGTTGAAAAACACGCTGGTGGAGAGAATGATGAATACTGCACACTCCGACTGAGACGGCTCTCTTTACACGGTGACAGATGATGAATTGGAAAAGAGGGACAGCGTCGTCTAAATAGCTGGACGGTTTTGATTATCGTCCTCTCTGAGGAAATACAAGCTTGAGTAAACACGCTGGCGCTTTCAGTTTCTCCTTTCAGAATCCGTTTACGATTTCAAATTCAGCCATCACAGCGGGTGGTTGAGATATTTGGCACACTTTTCATCCCTCTTCGTGATTAACGATTGAGTTTCCTGCTGTAGACATCTCGGCCCAGAGAGCTCGCTGCGGCCGTAATGTATTTGAAATCACGCACATCGTGTCTGAAAACATCTGATGATGAAGTGATCACGACGAGCACTTCGAGTCGATTGAGGATACGTCGTATTTTGTTTGTCCTCATGTTGACAAGCCTTTTCACTCACCTCCGACTCGTCCTTCCATTCGTCCTAACTAGTGCTGTCAGTTTAACGCGTTATTATCGGCATTAATTTAAATAAATTTGAACAGGATTCATTTTTTTATCGGAAGATTAATGGGGCATCACGTCACAGCGGATGTTACGTGGCTCTAAATAATAAAATGTGCTCCGAGTTTGAATAACTGCTCCAAGTGAAAAATCGACATTGTTGTTTGAGTAAATATTTGCATTTGGCACCAAAAAAAATGATCCACCATTCCACGTTGATGAGAGCATTAAAATGGGAAAAAATAGGACAAAAAGAAAGCAAAGGAAATTTAGAATAGATAAAAATGTGGGATTAATTGCGATTAATTATGAGTTAACTATGACATTGATACATTCGAGCACGATGAAATATTTTAATCGTTTGACAGCACTAGTCCTAACACATAAGATTGAAATCCATCCATCTGGATTTCAAATTAAGACTTTGTTATTTATAGTCAAGCGGCAAGTAGCCATGACGTTTATGGCAACGAATCAGCAAGCGGTTTATCTACTAACCAGCGATGAGCGTGCGTAACAGCCACACGATTCCATAATGCAGCTTGTCAGATGCTCTTACTCGCCACTCATCCATCTCATCGAGGAGTGGCAATTTTTCTGACATTGACAGTGTGGACGCTCAGGTGATGGATTCACTGCCTCTGTAATGTGTGTGGACTAGGATCCGCTCTTATGCTATTTCCACGTAGCACGCGTGAAGCAACGCCATCCATCTCAACACACAAAGCTGTCAGAGGAAGATGAGGCATAACATTGGATGAAATGACCGCACAAATTGCATGCGCATTCACCTGCCACTAAAAAGAAAACAAATTGGTTTCAACAACCGCATCGTCGTCTTCAATTTTCATATTGACACAACAAGCGGCTTGGAGTCGTTGGGAGTCATGTTGAAGGACTATTTACACTCCTAGAGCAGGCGTTCGTGCAATGCCAGGAGGAAAAGGCTAACTGGAGCATAGGCATCAGCAAAAGCTCGATTCAGAAGGGGAAAACTTTACCCTCACTGACTTCAGGTTGAATGGCGTCAATTATCCATTATAGTTGGAACAGTGTGATAGCGATAACGCTTCTTAAACTGGTGCTGAACTACTTAGGGAAAATTCCAAAGCCAAATAGCCTTCTCAAACTACAAGACTTTTTTTTTGTCCATCATGACGGTCATGCGGTCAGACCACCAGATAAATATCGTTCTGTGTCTCGGATCGGGCGAGATGTCATCCTACACGCCCGTCACCGACCAGACCCTGCCCTTTTGTCGCATGCCTCCGTCAAGATTCAGTCCATCGGCGCAGGTCCGTCGGGGAGGCTGGACAAGCAGCTGCAGCCATGTGGACATGTTTTTTTCTCTGAAAAGAACTTGAGGAAATTAACCACACGAGCTAAAAGCTTTGCAGTTAGCAAATGTAGCATGAGTTGAAATGCTACGTTTATACTTTTCAATATTTTCCGTCTTGTTTAAGTCACTTTTTTTTTTCCAACGTCACACAGGGAGGGGCACAGTAGGGGTTTGGAAAAAAAAATACTCAGCAAACGGACACATGAATAGAAGACAACAAACAATGATTTGAATACTTGCACATGTAGAAGGGGATGTTAGGGAGGTATCGGGCGGGGGATCTTATGGCCCAGATGCTCTGAGCGGGCGATTGCAGCTTTAAATAGAAGAAATTTTCCTCAACATATGCCAATAAGGCACCACTATCCCAGATGAGGATTAAGTCCTCATTGCGTGTCATCGAAGACACAGCCGACTTCTGTGTGACTGAATAAATTGGATGTTAGATTAGATCTCGGCGCTTACCAACAGATAGTAAATCCTTTCCTCCAACGCATTTCGCACTGCAGTGAGAAGTTATTGCTCTGCAGTCGCTGGCCTTGTCTGAGCCTCGCGAGAGATGTTGTTTTTTTTCAAATAGTGTGGCAAATAAACCTCAGGCATCAAGTCAGAATCTGGATGGCATTTAATAACTCCTGACAGATTAGAGAGTGTGCAGGGAATATGACCGGGCACAGCCGGATGGAGCGTAAAGAGGGTAGCCCATCACTGCGCGCAAGGTGTGACATTAAACACAACTGTCAGCAAGCATCCACTTCATTTGCTTGGTCATGGGTTTGCTTCGCTATTACAGTAGTTAGACAACTCGGGGATATGAAATATTTAATTGTCTCTTACTCTGATTCTTCTCATCGCAGCAACTATTTCCATGCGGCTGCCAGGACGGCCCACTTCCAAGCTGCCAATGTACTGAAAGAATCCAAAGGAAATCCATGTCAGAGAAAGCCACTACCACTTGTTACTCTACTGTCATATTGCATCAACTCAAACTTCTACTGACACACTTCGAACAAAATTGCTGGGACAGAATTGGTGGAAAATGTTTGTGACAAAAGAAAGAAGGTGATACTATCCAATACAGAGACAATAAAGAAAAATGGCTTTGTTATTGGAACACATTTATGCTTCATGGCAGTGAACAACGAGGAAGAAAAAGAAGCAGATCACACGATCCGTCCAATAATTACCTTCGCCTCGAAGCTGACTCCATGCTGGAACACCTCCTCGTTATGCATGGGGATCCTCAAATCGAGGGAGTCGTCCACCAAATTGTACTTGGTCACCCCTGGCATCGCTCATTTATCGAATGATTACGGACTCGACACTTGTTTGGTCTGAGACGGCACTAAAGAAAAGCACGGATGCGCATCTTTCTGCGCACTCTTACTCCTCCCCTGGAGGTCGAGGCGGATCGATGAGCTGGAGAGTTCGGCTTCTGGAGCTGATCGCTGATCGATGTGCGCAGTAGCCGAGACCCAAGCTTGTGTCCTTTCTCCGAGGCACGACGACGGAGGAATTACGCGCCGCTTGCCGGTCTGCAGATGACTCAACACATGACTCTTGTTTGCTTCAAGCTCTGCATCAAGCGTCTGTCGGTTTCAAATGCTCAACGTTTGACAGGCAGCGTCGCGAGTTCGGCTTATCGTCCTTTGAAGAGGGTGGAAGAGAAGAGCCAAGTGTCTTCTTGCTGCAGGAGTGCATGTTGTTTGTTTGCGCGCCATCTAGCGGTGCTACCGGGAACGTACTGCATCTTTTAAATACCCACAGGCGACAACTGGAGGCGCGCTTTCAAAATGTGCAGCAATTGTCATGAACGTCACTTTTCTTTTAAATAAATTTTATATTCTCCCCCAACAATAACATTCATGTGAAAAAAAATGAAAACAAACATACCACAACTTGTCCTTTAAAAATATTGTTATCGTCACACATTACACAGGTCATGTGAGTTGGCTTTATGTGTCCTTAAACGTATTTTGGACATTTAAAAAATATATTTCCTTTTTTTCAAGCACGTCAAACAAGTTTTGAGATTTAAAAAAAAAAATTTTTAGGTTTGTGTAATACGGATTTCACCATCTGTTGTAATTGGAGTAATTTCAAAAAAATCCTCCTGTTGCTGAACCTAATCTTTAATTCATAAATATTACTCAGTACTTTAGTATATTACATATGATATTGTTCAATTCCTATTATGAAAACGATGTGCTAGAGGAAAAATGAGAATAGATTTCGAGTCAGCGCAAAAAAAATCGACTAGAAAAGTTTACCTGCGTCTCAGCAGAACCACAACATCTTTGTTTTGAAGAGGTTTCATTCGGGCCTTTTTTTTCATACTGTTACATTTCACCACAAGGTCACTCAGTCATGCATTTTCTGTTTGTGTTACACGGGCATTTTCCATGCCATTTATGAGCAGGCACTTGGTGCTAGTTTGCCTAGCAGTCTGAATGCCGTAGGTCAAAAGAGCTCAAAGTTCTAGACACAAATGTGAAAAAAAAAACAGTGAACAATTTTCTTGGTATCCCCAACACAAGGAGACAACTCAGAAAGAACGGCTCAACGAAGTAAGTGAAAAAATGATTACATTGGAGAAGGTTGTCATGAGATTGACTGCCATTGGAAACGTCCTGTCCAGGACGTTTTTTTAATGTCACTACAGTATACTAGAAAGTAATGCTTGTAGTCTTGAGGTACTGTAATTGAATGTTTTTTTTTCTCTATGACTGTATTTCAAAGAAATGTGTGATGAATTTGGAATTGTGGTGTGCTTCAGTCAGTGGCGTTCTGTCAGGGCCAGCAAGACCTTCTCTGCTGGCCTAAACATTCTCAGAAAAGTAAATTTAATAAATTTACTTTTCTGAGAAAAACATTAATTTGTTATTTTATTTTCATTAATATATAAACAAAATTATTCTCTGTATTCTTTACGTCATATTATTTCCACTTAGTCGAGTGGCTTTCAATGTTATTTTAAATAACATTGAAAGCCACTCGATAAATAACTTATTTATTATGGTAGAGTTTTGAACCAATCACATTTCAGCTAGCTTGTGTTGCCAGGTAAATTAAACTTGCTCGGGGCCTTCAGATTAAACAGAGCCGGCCCCTGTGCGCTGTAAGTGAACGGGCACAGTCAAGTTGCAATAGCCAATCAGATTACGAGTCTGCGTACCAGGGCCAGCTAGAAGGGTTTACGTTGAGACTGGACGTGTGCGTTCGGTGATTGGATTAGCGCCTGCTAGAGCTATCACTGCATTTTAACCCAAAATGGCCGAAGGGGAAGACGTTGATCTGGTTGCAGAACTAGTTTTCCACACAATTTTCAAGACGGGCCTTCCACGAAAAGCTGGATATTGTGCGAAGAGGTCGCCCAACTCCTGCGCTAGCTAGCCTGTCCCAGCAAGGAAAAGGGTTTGTCACACTCGCATAGATCTGCAGCTCAGTGAACAGGCACTACATTGGTGAGTAAACTGAATTTTATTTTACATTTCTTCTTGTCATTTTATTTCGTTAGTATTAAATTAATGGTAACGAAATAAAATGACAAAGATACAAAAATGTATCAAATAAATCTGCTTACCTGCAATTTATAATGGCGCATTGTAGTCACCTTTGTGCACGAAAATTCGTTCAATCTCAGCTGCTCAACATTTTCAGTTATTTGCTGTTGTGTAGCCTATTCTCAAAATGCAAATGATCTGTTAACTTTATTTTCAAAGAATAGTTTGTTTAGTTATTGTTTGGTTGGTGTCTTATATGAAACTGTGACATTGCGCAATTTATTGGACAGACTTGTTTAAGATCACACAGCGTAATTTGGGTGGCATTTTATTTAGTATTTTTAAATCATCTTTTTATTTTTGACAATATCTGTAAATTGAGTTTCCTGCTCTTAATTGTGAATGCATACTTGATGGTTTTAAATGCTCCTGAAATTAAGTGCTGCTTGACGAGCCTATATTGTGTTAATATATGTGACGTCACTGAAGGCCTAAGGTTGAATATTTGATTCAGATCTTGTATTGAATAGCATCGTGTTGTGCAAGGAGTAGCAGCATGGTGCACTTGTGTTTCGCATGTCTGCCTCACAGTACTGATGTTCGAATCTCCGCTTCCTGTGTGTTTTGCATTTCAAAGGATACGTTCCAATACTTCCCAACTCTAACCACGACAAGCAGGATAGAAACGGACTGATGGATGTGCAATTAGTTATTCACTATGGTTCGTTTTTTGCCTTCTGTCCAGCAGGGGGCAACAGAGCTCTTTGTCTTGTGTAAGTCTAAAGTTAACCAAGCAGAAAAGTGCAAGTCAAACTAAATCAGAGGCTCCTTGTAGTCTTTTCTTCTTCACCTCCTGTGTGATGCAGCCCTCTTTTTTTTGACTCTACCATCAAGGTCAAAAAGAGCAGAAGGCCCTGTCACCTACCTCGGGAACAACGTGTACTGGAGATATTGCAAAGTACTTGGAGAGAACAGAAATGCTCTCTCAGGTTCACAAGGAGACCTTTGCATGTGAATGAGTCAGATGGAGTACCATATTTTGGTGAGGGCCTTTCCTACGAAATAGATGATACTGTCTTATGCAGGGCTTACTTTCTGAATAGGTGTTCGCTTCGTTTCTGATTCATGAGTGATACTGATCTCGCCAACATGTGATGGGCTGTGTGAACTTCACCAATTTTCCTCTGGCATCACATAATAGTCACCAAACACTTCAGAGCAGTGTGTTTTGTCTTAAAGGGGAAGTGAAGGAAAGATAAAAGTAGTCAGCTGAGATGCCAACATTTTGGCTGGGGCTGGCTGACACATGAGACTTCTGTGGCGGGGCATGAGGAACACGCTCTGCCTGATGTTATCATATTTTTCCTGCACAGTAGTCTGGCTTCAGCACAAAAAAAAAAAAAAAAAAAAAAAAAAAAAGGACAACAAAAAGAAGCCACTAAATCCAGTGAATATGTAGAAAGACAAAAGGAATAAAATCGTTACAAGACAGAATCAAAAGTCACGGCTCACCTGATTTGCGGGTTTGGTCATGTGGCTTTTGCAAGCTGAGACTGCATTTATAATATATTTTATTCAAAGGTATATTTATCTTCAGTGAAGTCTAGAAGGAGTTAAAAAAATGTTTTTAGAAGCTCATTTATGTTGAGTGCAGTCCAGAAACAAAGTCATAAAAAAGTGATTGTGGTGATTCAAAAAGGTTTCACTGTTAAAAATGCACTTTTGCCATTTAAGTAGCAAAATCAGCGGCCATTTTTATGCTAATTAGGGTTGTAGGTATCTGATGAATGTAACTACTGTACTAAACTAACTTGTAACATAAATGACATTTTCAAACAAGTAAACAGAAAAGTAACTTACTTACTTTTTCAAGGTAACTGTGTAACTGATTGAGACTAGTGATGGGAAAATGAAGCTTCAAGTTTGCTTCATGAACCAGTTGTATTTTTTGACTCCTCGAGACAGCACTCTACGCGAGTCAAATAGAAGAACACAGTCTGTCTCTCCCCAACAAAAGAGTTTTATTTCAGACCCTACCTTCAATAACCATGTTGAAAAATGTATTTCAACTTTAAAATATTCCATTCAAATTCAATTTAAAGGCTCCTGGAATGATGTCGCAGAGGGTCATTTCAAATTCAAGCTACAAACTACAAATCAGCACCCTATAAAAATAATAACAAAACATAATGCACTTTCTGGAAGGACTCTTAAAGGATCCTCTGCATCTCCGTTGTTGCTGCCATCATGATGACGTATACGCAATTTTAAAACGGGTCGCATTGAGGTTGGGAAAGAGAAAAATAAATGCACAAAGGCAGGTCAGGTGAGAAGGGAGATGAGAGCCGGCAATGTTGAGGCTAAAATAATTGTACACATTTTTCTACAGGTTAGAGGGGAGATGCATGGTTTCAGAAGTGCAACACCTACATTGTATATATAATGTACACATAATTAGCTACATCATCCTCAAAAGCAACAATCATTTGTTGGAAAAAAAAATATCCCTTGGGTTTTTAGAGAGAGGGTGTTTGTGTTCTGAGGTGTTATTTTGACACCTTAAGTGCAACAGATGTAAGTCACAAGGCATTAAGTCCACTCTTGCATCGGTTTACTCAGTCCTCCCACTATCCAAACCAAACAAAGTCACGCAGTATGGACATTCAATTAAGCCGACGCGTAAAAGCCTCCTGGATACGTGAGGTCTTGATGAAACTCGCATTTGGGTCCGGGCTTGAAAGTTTATAAATGGACTGCAGCTTTGAAATAAATGAATGGGTGAGCTTTAAGGTTTCAAATTCAAGTTTTTGACCAAAGCCACACCCCTCGCCAACGTGCATCACGGTATCTGTCCGCTTCCTTCTTTTGCACTTTTGTCACGGTGGATATTCCACCATAGTTTCAGCAAAAATACTCAAGCCTAATGAAACAGGCAAAGACGCGGGGGTGTGCCTGCTTTGAGTCTGCCTGCGAGTCCTTCAATCTATGATTGGTTGTTTTATTTATTTATTTTTCTTAGTGGTGCTTACTTAACTCTGGACCCCTTTGACGGCAATTGCAAATAAAGGGAATCCTAATGAGTTGTGCTGTCCATGTGAATTGTATGCTTTTTAATGCGAATGGCCGTAGAAAATTCTTGGCCACCTTGTTTGATCATCAAGCCGGGAAAGTAGACAAATTGAGGCAGTTCTCAATCCAAGTCGTGACCCTTCATATT